CATGGAGAATCCAAATATGAAGGAATTAAGTGTTAGAAGTGCGGAGAAAAATAACTATACAGGATTTTTGACAGAAAGCCACTTTTGCCCATACTGAGTATTTCAAGGTTTTCTCCTTGAAGAAAGGATCTAGAATTTTTTTCAAGGTGATATTCTTGTAGAGCTCATCGAGCTCTATCAAATGATGTGTGTTTAAAGCAAATCTATCAACTGCTCGAAGTTTGAATTTGGCGCACCTTATACATGTTTCATATGTATTAATTAATAATTTAGCATCATCATATGAATCAGGTCCTTGCCAAAAGTCATGAACAAATCTGATAAATAATACATAAAGTGCCAACGCACAATTCAAATATATTGGTAAATAGTCATACAATATTGGTATACGGCCTGGCCAGCTAACTCTACCTGCGTACGTAATTCCGTGACGTTTTTCTATGATTTTGTTTTATATTTGCAGAAATTTTTGAAATCAATCAATTGTATCAATTAATAATGATATATTTGCTTCTCCTTTAATACCATAATGATCTCGATAACCGTATCTTTGTACATTATAGATATCATTTAAATAGGATTCATCTGTTCTTGGGTGTTCATTTATACCACCATTAAATAAAATACATCGACATTCAGGTGAATATCGACCTTTTACATAACACCACATACAACTGTAATAAGCTGTATGATCAACATGATTCGACATTTTAGATAACGCTGGCATATCACCTGTCACAAATGCTATTAGTACCCGAATTTTATTATTGTTAACACTAATTCCATTCGTTTTTACATCATACATTTGTTTTTCAATATAATAAGAGAATGTTCGAAAACATGGTGTCTTCTTTCCTATCCAATAACCTATTAATAAAGATATAAATTTTTTTTAGAGATTTTCTAAACAGACGAAAAGCTTACCATGTTATGATATGGTAAACTTTTACTTATACTAAAATGTTAATAATAAAAATAATTTTTCTTACTAAAGAAGAGCTTATTTTGAAAAACGCCTAACGAATAACAATTTTTGATACAAATTTGAGTATTAAGTGAACAAGAACCTAATATGTACAATAATGTGAATATTAAGGAGGAAAAGCACCAAGTCATTTTACTGCAATCTAGCTCTAATTCAGCTCCATTTTATTATTACTTCGCTTCATTTCACTGCGACTTCGTTATCGCTACGCTTTACTTCATCTTCGCTTCACTTTACATCACCACTTCAGGTCACTCAATTAACCGATATGAAGTGACGACGATATGGTGTTTTCTCCTTCTTGATGAATATACGTTGCTGAAGTCTCACTTGAAGCTGAAAAAAATCTAATACTAACATTTCAGTAGTGCTTCTATGGTTACGAAAAGAGATTAAAAAAAATTTAAAAACATTGAAAAAGACCTTATAACATCTCTACCTAATAGAATAACGTTTTTTCTTGACGAACGTGCATATGGTGGTAATTCTAGTATGATAGCAATAACTGGCCACGCTTGTCTATGACGTGACTTATATAATGGTATACCATCACCATGTAGTGATAGCGAAATAAAGAAATTTTCATTTTTCATCTTGCCACCATCTTGCCGCGCAATACCCAAGTTGAATCGCGGACGCACATATTTGCGAATTTTTCGCGTTCCGCGTAAAATTCGCGGTTGTGTCCGGAAACAGTTCGCGACAAGAGCGCGATTGAGTTCGCGACAAGATCTCGATAGGATCGCGACATGATCGTAATAAGACGGTAGCAAGATTGTGACTGAATATGCTTGTTTCGCCGATCGCGATTCACATCGGCTGTTTCACGATTGAATCGTGTTCAAATGCTTATATCGAGGCAAAATCGTGACTTCACTAAACCACTTCAGGATGGTGAATCTGTAATTGTTAGCACCGCTGAAAGCTCTAAAATGAGCTCGACCTAGCAGAAAATTCAGCAGCTTTTTGTTCCGTTTACCGTTTTGGCTGGCCAAGTTTTAGAAATCAAAGAGTTCTGTCTCATGCTTCTACGAGGTTTCGTAACAAATGATCTACTGAAACCTCTACTGTTTTGCTGACAACTTGGAGATGTAGACTAAATGCCGTTGCTTTAGTTCCATTAATATTATTTATTTTTTCATTATTTATTAATTCAATAAAACCAACGATATAAGAAAACAGTTAAGAAATATACAGCAGAGAAATACAAAGAGATTTTCGATAAAAAAAACATAAACAGTTTGATGGCATTGATGATAATTGTTTATATGGTGTTGTGCTTGTTGTTTGGGATAATTTTCCTAAATGTAACATGATTAAGCTCTATACAATGTTTCTTCATTAAATTACTGCACTCGCTCGATATGTTCTAGATTAGACTCTAAACACGCACAATGAAAAAGTCTTAAAATAAATGTAATCAAGTGTCGAAAATCTGATTTCGTTTATAAAACCTAATAGTATTTGAAATCGCAAGTATTTTTATTCACAGTCATTTATGTCAGTAAGTATAGTATGAAACGACTGAAAAAACTCTATTACATATAATTGTCGAACTCTTAATTGGGACAGCTAACACTACAAACTATGCCATTCCAAACTCAGATTCACACCTGGTGCACTTCCCTCGTGAGTTAAATAATATAATGTTAAAACGGAACAAAAAAAAATAACACCAATAACAAAACATCATTAGATATCTGCTTTTTAATAGCGAAATAGAAAAAAATAGCTCTATTCATGTGTTTAAAATAATCAAATGTTTAAAAGAAAAAGTACAAACGATTTTTCTGTTACGCCATGTTTTCAATTACACTGATACGCTGAACAAAATTCTGTACAACAAAACAAGTTTCTGAATTCTACAAACGCAATCCGATGACGTAATTTTAAACATGGCACAAGTAACAATGAATCAGTTCTTTGTACATCTAGATATTGAATGTAGCATAATGTAAAAATATTGTCTAAATATCTTTTTAAAATATCATAATAAGGAGAATTTACAAAAATGTCTGACATAGTTTGTTTTTCACAACGTTTTAATGATTGTACTATAGCATATGGTAGTTGATTAACTAGTAAAAAGCAAATGACCCATCCAATGTTATTATCTGCTAAACTAACTAAATAGCTGCATGATGTTTTCCTTTTCTTATAAAAAAACGAATGATATGTAGTTATATTTTGATGATAACGTGTAAAAAATGAAATAGATGCTTTACTAATCGTTAATTTCTTATCAATTAATTTTTTTAATATTTCTATTTCATTTTTATCTACAACCATATTACCACCATATGTATTAGTTTGACGATCAATAGTGAAACCTCCATTCAATAATATTTCGTCATTTCCAGAACGTGAATTATGATTTAAATATAAATCAGCTGCATATGCAAATGCAACTTGATGAATAGCACCTAATGGGCCTTTTAAATTTGATTTCAAATTACCCAGAAAACTTTCAAATAGAAAACTTTCGCGGTGTTCACAACCACCAGAATCTACACATTGTTGAGCTATATGCTGTTGTGTATGCATTGTGATTGTTAATAAACGTGGTGGAAATAACGGTTTATTCTGCACACTTTTGGTTGTTATATAGACAAATACATAATAAATACTCGTATTTCAGATGCTTTCCAACGATTGACATTACTTAATGAAGTTGGACGCCTAAGAATATCATGAATGTATGAAATATGCTTCAATTTTTTATTTATTTCATCAATATTTTCTTGTTTTAAAGAGTCTTGTATAAATGATAAAAACCTTTTTGCATGACATAAGAATATAGTATGCACGCCATTTTTCGGATCTAGGTTCTACTGGAATGTGGAGCTGTTGTAACAAAATTCCTTATACTTTAGAGGAAAAAGTAGAAAATAGTTATAACTTAAGATCTCTAAATCGACAACCCATCAAAAAAACTACATAACATTATGGAGTTCATTGTCCCCACCGTAGAGGTCGATTTAGTGAAATCTATGTTGGGCGACCCTTTCACTGCAAAATCGATCAAATACGATGTTTCTGTTCAGTTTTTGATGCTGAATCAAAACAAAATAGTTTGAAAAGTCCGGATCGACAAATCAGACGCAAATTCAAGCTTTTTGATAATCAAAAATTTAAAAACTAAATTTCCCCTATCAGCTCGGAAAGCTCTATCGAGTGCTGTGTGATAAATTCAAAAAGAAAATTCTTACTTTAAGTTTGAATTACGCGCGTCTGAACAAACGGTAGCATAAGGGTCCATCATGCAGTTACTTTAAAAATTTTTGAAAGTGATTTTTGTGCTCAGAGCACCAAGTTCTACCAGGTCTAAGCGTATTAAACGATGGGCATAATGTCAATATAAGGGTGGTACGCTTCCCCAGATACCAGCGAACGAATCGTATCTTAGGTGGATGACCCGAACCCGACCCGACCCGAATCAATATTTTCTATGTGAGCCCGAACCCAACTCGACCCGAAGCCGTTTTTACCCGACACGAAGTCGTACGAAACTCGACCCGAATGGCCCGAAAATTTTCTTAGGTGACCTAATAAACTTTCTAGTAAAAGAGCAGAGCTTCTGTAATAGCCCAGAACGTTTTTCTGATTTTTTGTCGAATCAACATCACAAGCTGATTTGGTTGATGTGTGTCTCAGGATTTTGGGGCCACTTTCATTTTCTTCGAAGCAAAAATCTCGGTTGAAAAGTTCGAAAAAAATGAAAGTTGCCCCAAAATCCTGAGACACACATCAATCAAGTCAGCTTGTGATGCTGATTCCAAATCTGACATTGGTTTTCCAAAAAATGATAAGTTGACGGTGAAAACTGCAAAATACAAATGAATTTTCTTGTTTTTGCTACCTGTTTCAAGAAAATGAATTTTCTCAGCAACGAAACAATATTTTCCAAAACCGATACTAACTTTTTTTCCATCTATAAGATGTAGAAAAGTAGAATTTGAACTTACAGTTTTCAGACTAGGCAGTGTGACATTATATATGAGATCTTTTATGATTTTTAAAAGAGAACTTTGTACGAGTTATGCAAACTCCCAGCGAAGGGTAAAAGAACTAACTTGGCCGCTCGGCTGAATTATAGAAATGATTGATAGAAAAACGATAGGCACAGACGACTGATTAAGTGGCTAGAGCCAAAGGGTGGACTGCTAAAAAGTATGCAGTGGGTTTTTTCTCGAAAAAGCCACTCAGCCGTACTCACTGGGTGTTCGTTAAGAGATACTTAGCAAAGACGCAAAGGAGACTTCTAATGTACACAAGACGAAGAAAACACGACGATGATGAAGCATAATAAAACGTGCAAAAGAATTCTTGTTAACATTGAAATACTCAACAACAGAAAAATGAAAAAAGTAATAGAACATGACGTTCTAAGATGGTAACTTGTTGTGCGTGCTAGTGTTCAGTTCTGTTCTACTGTGACTCAATAGCATCAGTTTCGTCAAATATGAGCTATATAATCAAGTACATTTCTTTTAACATATACATCATACATCCATTTATCTCATTCAAATTTTATTATCAGTCAAAAAGAAGAAATAAAAATAAAGTCAAAACTGAACTATAGTCAAGTGATTTTCATTACCTTTCTTTTTACACAAAGATCATCATTCTAACATTCTTCTTTTTTCTACATCTTGAAAGGAAAGTAGTTACACAGTTTATGTGTATATATTCACTTCTTGTTATGTCACCCTATATATACAAATGATTTATTATCTACATTTTACTTTTCATTGTGAATTTTAACTGTATAGGCACTGCTAAATACAATTTTTTATTTTTGCTTTTTTCTTGATTTCTCAATAGAGTGCCTCGGGATAACTCCGGTCAATGTCAGAAATCTGTTCAGTATTTTGCTCATAGCTAAGTCATTTTTAACCAGAAAAAACGGTTTTGCACAGATAGATAGATCTGATTCTTAGCCATCGACTGATGCAAAAATCATGTTAAAATTCATTAGAAATAATT